CCGCATTTATGTGCGCTTGCGTTTAGAAGCGTTTTTAAAAGATAACCTCAGGAAACCTTCCCAAATGCCCAGAATGCACTGAAAAACAGTACAAAATTTATTATTTCAGACATTTTGAGAGAAATTGAGAGAGCAGAAGCAGAGAGAGCAGTATGTGTTGAGATGACCTATCTTTTCTGGTTGTATTCACTATGGATCCCATCATGAGCATAATGCAGCACATTCTACCATTTTTTCCTTTATGCGAAACCTGAAACTGACTGCGCTGGTGTACTAGGTCCATTTGAGTACTTGGAAAACGCTTTGCATGCATTTCTGATGATGAAAAAAGGCTCTGGACAGCATTTGGATATGGAACAGTTAAAAAACGCTTCTAAACACAAACGCTTATAAACACGGTTAACTGCGTTTACAAGCGTTTGGCATTTGAAACGCCGATAAAATCTACTCCTGAACGCAAGTTTGGTGCGTTAAAAAAAATGACTGTAAACTCAACTGCCTGTAAACGACTATGTGTACATGGACACATAGGAAAACATTAGGAAGAGTTCAGGGGCTCCTGAAAAAACACGCAAAAAAGCTCCTGAATGTGAGTTTATCAGCTGCAGTGTCCATGGAGCCCTTATATTATTATTTCCAAGCAATATAAAAATATACATACACTACGTACATTCATAATGAATATACATTATTTCCTGGAGGTAAACATTAATTAAGGACATGGATAGCATTTCAATAAATGCAACTAACAGGTTTTAAATATACTGTGTTAGTTGTATATTAAAGCTTCTATGTATTCAGCACAAATGACAGACATGCACATAGCAGCCATCGAATGCATAATTAGCTACATTACAAATCATCTTATACAAACATATAGTTCAGGCTGTACACTGCTGATAAAGGTTATTATTTTAAACCTGAAATTTTCTGATATGCTCTGTCGAATCTCATTATTTCTGCTTGTGATAAGCACTGAAAATGTTCTTTAAATTTAGCTGTGGAAAGAAAAGTAACACTATTCATTATATTGCTAGTTTTGTGAATTGTGTACTTTTAATATGTTTTCTTATAATTTAACCATGATCCCTAAACCATCACTACATGATGAGTGAACCCTCATTTCCAGAAATTATATTTATTTATAAATGAATTTTAGAATAGCAAACCTGAAGTGGCAAGCAACTACTACGTGCGGTTTTGAAAGTGCTGTATATTTGCACAGCTTTGGGCTCATTTAATATGACAAACAGCACTGCAAAGGGCAGTAACCCATAGCAAGCCATCAGCAATGATTTTCACTGTTCTGAATGCTCTAAAAAGTGAAATCAGGATGCTGTCGGTTGTTTGTGGTTTACACACCATTGTTGCTTTTGCGCTGCCTTGTCAAGTTAACTCAAATCTACTTTTATACGAACTAGCAAAAGGATATTTTATGCGCATTTCTATGGAAACTATGTAAATGGTAGACAACTAGAAAATTGTGCTTTTTGTATAAACAATCCACTTTTCACAGTTCTTTCGCTTCTACATTATTTCCTGTTCAGCATCATGGTGTTCCTGAAAATGTCCCTGTTTTCCCCACTCCTGGATCAGCAGCACTTTGTATTCACCATCACTGTTAGGCTAGGTTCACACTATGCAGTTTGTGTCTGATCCGTTTTTTCAGTGCTTTTTGTGGTGTGATTTGCATTTTTGCACATGCGTTTTTGCCCCATTTTTGATGCGTTTCACATTTTTTTCTTGTTGCTAGGCAGATTAAAATACAAACCGAATCAAAAATGCATAAAAAAAGCATCAAAAATGCACTACATGCTTGTCTGCAGCATCTCCATTGAAGTCTATAGAACTAAGTCTAGGTTTACACCTAAGCGTTGTCTGCAGCATTGTGTGTTTTGTAGAAATGCACTACAGTCCATTTACAATGATTTCCTATGGGACACGTTTAGCCGGTGCGTTTTTGGAAAGGGTTAGGGACAGGAGCGGACTGACAACCTGGGCAATAGGGGATCATGGGGCCCCTGTGTCCTTGCCCACATCCAAAAAGCCTATAAAAAATTTACCAGGGGCATTTAATGGGGCCCCCTACTGACCCCGGGCCCTCGGGCAGTGCCCGAGTGCTCGAATGGTCAGCTCGCCCCTAGTCAGGGACTTTTTTAAAAGCAAAAAGTTGTGTTTTTGGTTCTATAGACTTCAATGAAGACACTGCAGAAAAGCATGTAGTGTGTTTTTTACGCATTTTTGATGCGTTTTAATCTGCCTAGCAACATGAAAAAAAAAATGTATATGCATCAAAAATGCGGCAAAAACGCAAATCGCACCACAAAGAGCACTGCAGAAACAGATCAACTGGCACTAAGTCAGCAGTGCAATCAGTCACTGAAGACATTAATCCAACATCCCTGTACGTGTGATACTGTCTGCTCAATACCATTTTCCTCCACAACCATTCCTGTTATATTTCTTACAGTAAATGCTGCCAAGGCACAGTGGAGTTGATTTACTAAAGACAATTAGACTGTTCACTTTGCAAGGGAATTTGCATTTTGAGAGCTTATTGAATGAGGTGAAGTGAAAACACTTTTTTTTCCTTGCACGTGATTTGCAAAGTGAAACTTCACCACATTCACCACATTCTAGTAAAAAATTCCCATGCAAAGTGCAATTTCCCTTGCAAAGTGAACAGTCTATCTGCCTTTAGTAAATCAACCCCAGTATCTCATAAGGAAAAATTTTACCTCATTTGGATGTTTCATTGTGGAATTTGAATCTGGGCCTGGAACTTGGCTAGGCTAAAACATTATCTTGATACCTGAGAGTCACACAAACATTTGCAAGAGAGAATTTTTGCTTTTCTTGGATTTAGGCTTTAATGTTTAGCCTATCATATCTACTTGTTTCACAGGATCATTAGCAAGCACTACAGAGGCACCCTAGATTGGAGAAGGCCCTAAAACATAACATTTCAGGTTGATTTACTAAAGACAAGCAGGCTTTTCCTATTTACAAGTGAAATTGTACTTTAAACGGGAAGTTGCATTTTGCATAGAAATCATCCCCAACACAATGCAAGGATCATATGCAAGGAAAAAAAAAATGTTTTACTCAAAACATAATTGGATGACGGAAGTCACTTATCCCTATACAAATCCCTATACAAAGTGCAAATTCTATTGCAAAGTGAACCATCAATTTGCCTTTAGTAAATCAAACCCCTTCTAGCATCAAATGCACTAAAATGCTGAATTGTTGTTATTTTTATTATCATTACTATAAGATCTTCGATGGATGAATAGAGAAAGGCATTTATTATTGAACAAAGGTGTTAAAGGTCACATCTGATTGAAACTTATTGAAAGAATATATTACTATCCCATATTGTATCCCAGTGGGAGAGAATTTCCCTTACTTCCTGTTTGGTGAAAACACAGGAAGTATGGGACATTTTCCCAGCAGACACACAGACTATGAAAGAAAACTGGAGGTGCTACCATTTTCTGTTTGTAGCAAAAAAGTGATTGTATTGTTTATTTTATTTGCTGCATCTGTCTGTGAGGGAGTCTGCATGTCTCTTGTCCAATGACTGCACAAATCACAGGTTAGAAAAAATTTCCTCAATGGGGATACAGACCATAAGACAAACTTGAAAGAATGCATAACCATTGCTTATCAAACAAAAAAATAAAAAACAAACTTTTCCTTATAATGGTCATAAATTAGACAAATGTAATACATAAAGACATACTTATAGAGCCTTTTGGCATACAAGCTTTACAGACATAAGTCTTTTCCTCAATACTATAAATATTTCTGACGTTAGTTTTCTACAGTTGAGTGGCATTGAGCACAGTGTTTGCTCGTTTGGGTTGATTTTTCTTTGATTATCCATTACCTATGGTAATGTCACATGTGACATTTGTTCAAGAGGAAAGATTACTGCTGTAACTATAGATGAATGTAGCAAATGTAGCTCTTCACATGTGAGGGAATCATTAATAAGGGACTCATTAAACACATTTTGAAAAATGCTATGTTTATTGAAGAATTAATCACAAATATAATTACCCTCTTATTTAGTTCAGCTTTTTAAAGTAATTATTTTTAATGTTACTTTAATAAAGAGTGCATCTGATCCAATGAATCAAGAACAATTGATTGCAGGCTGTGTGTACTTGTTCATATTATCAAAGTGCATGTCTATTTACATGGTCATCTCAGCTTGTTTTTCTTTAATACTGTGTAAAACATGAACAATATTTCTAGGGCTTCAGTGGTGATATCCTCAGCAGAAAGGTCTTCACCTTCACTTCAGACTTTAGTCGATGAGACAGTCAAGTTTAGGAATAGGATTAGGAATTTCATCCCTGGACTAATGGAGATAATTCATCAATTAGACATTGATAGGAGCCAGACCCACAGCCATGGATACATGGGGGTTGATTTACTAAAACCAGAGAGTGCAAAATCTGGTGCCACTTTGCATTGAAAACAATCAGCTTTCAGGTTGTTTGTCAATGCTTAATTGAACATGTTGGGGTTAGAAGATGGTCGGTACAATGGACAGCTGCACAAGATTTTGCACTCTCCAGTTTTAGTAAATCAACCCCCATAGTGTGCATCATATAGTTACTAGAAGGAGCATACCAAGGAAAGTTTGGTTTACTGTATGTTTGCTGAATGCTTTAGAAAATTCACAAACCCCTAACATACTACAAGAACCCCTTTGATGTTTAGTGGAGCCAATTGTGCAAACTTTTGGTTAAAAAGGGCAATGGATAGCTGGGCTCTGCCATTGGAGACATTTATCAATGCAAAAAGAAAGGTTTAAAACAATAACATTTGGCAGGCGTAAAGGACAACATTAAAACTAGAGATGAGCGAAGAAATGAAAAATTCGATTCGACTGATTCGGCGAATTCGTGGACAATATTCGATTCGAGTCGAATAAATTCGCTGTGAATTTAACTTAAAAAAGGGTGTTTCTAGGCTTCAGAGAGACTTAATATTAGTGCAGAACACTGTACCTTTAATTTAAATGCCCTTGGAGTCTGCTGGGGAAGAGAAATAATACTGTCACTCAGTATGACATGCAGATGAGTGCCGTCGATCTTAGAATCACCGCACACTTCACTCATTTGGCCAGTCACGGGGCCAAAACCAGTGTTTGGAGCCACAGTGTGGCGGTGGAGGCAGCAGCAATGGGAGGCCATACAGCAACCTATGACAAAATGGAAACCAGCAGGAGTGTGAGGAGACCTGAAAGTGGCACATGGCAGAGTGGGAGCAATGGGAGGCGGTACAAGGACCCATGTCACACTGTGGACCCAGCAGCAGCGTGACGAGGCGGTACGGGGGCCCATGGCAGATTTGGGGCCTGGCAGCACCTATGGGAGGCCTGTAATCTGCCAGCAACCTATGACAAAATGGAAACCAGCAGGAGTGTGAGGAGACCTGAAAGTGGCACATGGCAGAGTGGGAGCAATGGGAGGCGGTACAGGGACCCATGTCACACTGTGGACCCAGCAGCAGCGTGACCAGGCGGTACGGGGGCCCATGGCAGATTACAGGCCTGGCAGCAGCAATGGGAGGCCCGTAATCTGCCAGCACCCTATGGCAAAAAATTGAACCACCAGCAGTGTGTGAGGAGACCTGAAAGTGCACATGGCAGAGTGTGGCGATGGAGACAGCAGCAATGGGAGGCCGTACAGGGACCCATGAGAGATTGTGGACCTGGCAGCAGCATGAGGAGGCGGTATAGGGCCCATGGCAGATTAGGGGCCTGGCAGCAGCTATAGGAGGCCCGTAATCTGCCAGCACCCTATGACAAAAAATTTAACACACCAGCAGTGTGTGAGGAGACCTGAAAGTGGCACATGGCATGAGAGACTCTGGACCTGGCAGCAGCATGAGGAGGCGGTATATAGGGGCCCATGGCAGATTAGGGGCCTGGCAGCAGCTATGGGAGGCCCGTAATCTGCCAGCACCCTATGTCAAAAAATTGAAAACACAAGCAGTGTGTGAGGAGACCTGAAAGTGGCACATGTTTGGGGCATGATTCATGGCGGATTTAGTCAGTTGTGTCAGGAACTGGTGGTTTGAAATCCAGACTAATCCACGCCTGATTCATTTTCACAAACGTGAGTCTCTCCACACTTTGGGTGGACAGTCGTGTCCTCCGCGGAGTTGCAATACCTCCTGCCGCACTAAACACGCGCTCCGATGCCACGCTACTGGCCGGGCATGACAGCCTTTCAAGGGCAAATTCAGCTAGTTGGGGTCAAAGGTCAAGTTTCGTTGCCCAGTAGTCAAGGGGATTGTCTACCTCGGTTGGCAGGGTGCTGTCCAAGTAGGCCTAAGCCTGTTGTTTGAGGTCCTGCTCCAGGTCCACCTGATGCTGCTGCTGCGCGCTGGTTAGTAGTTTCCTCACTGCGCTGGTGAAGAAAGCTACTCATCATCGACTGCAGACTGAGGCAGCCGCTGCTGGTGGAGCTGCCACTGCTCCTACCACCCCACCCCTCCCCTGCTGCCATGGCAGCGGAACGCGAGCGCACAGGGCCCACAGTGTCTGAGGATGGACGTTGGCGCACAAAGGCAGAGACCAGCTGACTACATAGGTGGTTTTTATAGTACGTTATTTTGGCCTCCCTCTCAGCAGGTGTGAAAAAGGCCACCATTTTTGAACGGTAGCGAGGGTCCAACAAGGTGGACAGCCAAAAGTCATCCCTCTGTCTGATGGTTATTATTCGGCTGTCGCTACGCAAGCAAGCGAGCATGCTATGGGCCATTTGTGCCAAGGAATGCGAGGGACTCCCTGCCTCCATCTCCACAGCATACTGCCACGGTGCGTCTGGGTCCTCTGTCTCCTCCTCCTCCTCCTCTACCAGATGCTCCTGCTCCTCCACTCCTGTCCGCTGAGTGGAAAAACCACCCATTTCACTCAATAATTCCTGAGCACCAATGTCCTCCTCTACCTCCTCCTCTTCTTCCTGTCCTGCCCCCACAGGGGTCATGTGGCGTTGAGATCTGTGCGCCACGTCTACCGCACCCTGACCAGCCATTGTTAACAGCATTTGTTCCAGGACGTGCAACAGAGGAATGACGTCGTTCATCCCATAGTCCTGCCGACTCACGAATAGCGTGGCCTCCTCAAAGGGCCTGAGCAAGCGCAGGTGTCACGCATGAGCTGCCAATGGCTGACATCTAAGTTACACAGGGAGTACCTTTATCCGCTTTTAACATCAGGAAATCTGTGATGGCCTTTCGCTGTTCGTAAAGGCGGTCTAACATATGTAGGGTTGAATTCCACCTTGTTGCAACGTCACAGCATGAAGAGGAGTCGGTACGGGGGCCCATGGCAGATTACGTGCCTGGCAGCAGCAATGGGAGGCCCGTAATCTGCCAGCACCCTATGTCAAAAAATTGAACACACCAGCAGTGTGAGGAGACCTGAAAGTGGCACATGGCAGAGTGTGGCTATG